TCTGTTAGCGCGTTTAGGCGTCGTCTTGAACTCGTCTAGTCTCGCGGCTAGAATGGCTTCTGTTAGCGCGTTTAGGCGTCGTCTTGAGCTCGTCTAGTAATACGACTAAGTCGTCTCCTGTGAGAGCACGTTTAGGCGCCACCTTGAGCGCATCTAGTAGCGCGGCTAAGACGTCGTCTGCAGGAGCGCGTTTAGCGGTCACCATGAGCGGATCTAGTAGCGCGGCTAAGACGTCGTCTGCTGGAGCGCGTTTAGCGGTCACCTTGGACGGATCTAGTAGCGCGGCTAAGACGTCGTCTGCTGGAGCGCGTTTAGCGGTCACCTTGAGTGAATCTAGTAGCTCGACTTGATCTTTACTTGATCTGGTTGACCGACTGAGATACGCATTTAGCAGGCACCATGAGCGAATCTAGTAGCTCGACTTGAACGTTGCCTGATCTAGTCGACCGATTAAGATGCGCGTTTAGCAGGCATCCTTTTATCTTCTCCTAACCGCTTTCCGGTTTAGTTTCAGCCGCTTCTCGATTTAACTCCGCTTGAATTTTGGTTCGTCTCAAAGGATGTACTTGGTCGGTTTATTGGAGGCAGTGAACTAGACACATTCATGCCTGTGACGATTTAGGCAAGTTTACTTTGAACTTATGCCGAGCTATTGCCGACCCAAAGTTTTGTGTTGGGACCGTGCCGGCTTTGACAGCAAACTGATCAATGAGAAAAAAACGCCTGCGGGATTCGCGCAGCCAGGAGGTCACTCGCGAGATGCTGCGTGTTGAGGCGGCAATGACCAACAAACTTAGCCGCTGCATCGATCGCGTCCGAGCTTATCTTAAGCAGTGTAGTCTCTCTCACAGGAGCAGAGTTTGCTTGAGCAGGCTTCCGAGACGAGGAAGTGTCTCGAGATGATCAAGGAGGAGAAGTCTTTCCCCGTTTGTTCTCCCTTCTAGGTTCGTGAATGAAGAGTTTGTGGTTACGCCTGACCCGTATGGGTCAAACGATGATCTAGTTAGGTCGGAAACGGCCTCGCAGCTCCGGACGCCCTGCGATGTCCTCGGGGAGAGTCGACAGGTAAGTCGCGTGAGAATCCAGTCGACGCGGCTCCGTCTTGTAAGGAGTCAGGTCCAAACCTTGGTGAAGAGACTATTGAGAAGAATGATATCACGGTTCGTGAAGGTCGTCTGAAGGACGTTGACTCAGCGAAGTCTGTCGAGGTTTCTGATTCTTCTTCCGAGAGAGAGGAGGAGAATGACAGGGTAG